AAAAAAAAAAAAAAAAAAACTTTGAATGCAGTGTTATCAAAATGTTTTTGTCTAAAAAGATTGCATGGTAATAGAAATACAGTTCTAAAGTAGACAATTCAAATTTTAGGTGTCTGAAAAGGGCCTCTATCTCTATGCCAGAAAGTAAGATCCCATTGTGCCTAAACTGCCACCTGAAAATCTGCCCACTAAGGTGTAAAATCTATAATTAACAAGTATCAGAACCAATTCAATCACATCCAGAGTCACACCGATATTACCAATAATTGCACTTTTTTTTTACCAGCAAGCACTCTTAAATGATGTTGCCTGACATCTGCAATATAACATCCCTGATAATATGTCAAAGCCATCCATATGCACTTCAACAACCCACATACAAGCAACCAACCTCTCATTACTGTTATTATCAATCAGGAAACTATGTACAGTAACAAATGTTGTTTCATCTAGAGCTGTGACTTGAACAATGACACAATTATTATTGACCCACTTTTATTCCTTAAAAATACCTTATAAAATATACTTTCAAAGAACAGTTGAATGTGTTGTATCAACATTATTTTTCGTTTGGATTTTAAAATCAAACATATCAAACTGTTTAATTTCATAGCTCTAACCTATAAGTTTCATACAATCAGTGGCTAATAAGGATTTGCTCATCAACATGACTTTAGTTCTAAATATTAAGGACTTTCCTCATTATTGCCACAAAGACAAAGCATTCACCCTGAGATATTCTTTACTGAATAAGACACAGCTTCATCAAGGTAACCTTATGTGGCTCTTTTTTCATGAATATATGATATAAGTTTAATTACAATTATATATCTGCTTGCTATGCAGACTGAGATGACACTGAGATATCAACTCTCATATTGGCACTTAAGGATGGCTGGTTAAATTAATTGTTTCATATATGCTAATATCAACGCTGCTTGCTTCCTTTGTTCCAGACAGCTTTAAACGGATTAGTGTGTGCTGTCAATATATTGCCAACATAAAGGAGAAAGGCACTTATAAGATATAATAACATAGTGACACATCGTGCATCTCACATGAAATGACTCGATATAAATCAAAACCATTGAACTAAAAAATATGACTGCAAGGGAAGCAAACCTATAGTGCCATAGTAACAGAATAAAATGCACCCTATTCACAAAGCCATATTACAGATAATGGTGATTTTCAGCTAATGGCACAAGAAATATTTGCATGAAAAGTAAGCTGAGCATGGATTGCCTTAGTAGAAATTATGCCCGATTGCTTTGGTATATCTTTAAGAATGCATCCTCCATAAAATCATACAAAAAGCAATCTTCTAGCAGTATATTTTTGAAAAATTCCAAATAGTGAAATAAAGATAGTCAAGTTCTGAAGTTCATACAAGGAAACATTCATTCCATTTAGATTTTAAATTGGCCTATTCAGGATTGTAATTTCAATATACAGAAGATACATTAAGTGAATATCGAAATGAAATAGTGAAAATACATTACATGCTGTGAAGTAAATCTTTAATAATAAGCGCAGTGATTCAATCCAGATATTAAAAGACCAAATCATGACTTTATTAACATGTTAGGTAAAAGCAGAATTCAATAAACAAGCTCTTGATAGGACTGAGTCTAGAAATAAACTGGTGAAATCAACAGATTGTGCTCAGTGCAACACTAGTATTTGAACTAGCTGTATATTTGATGCTTATTGCAATCATTCAGATCACAGACAGCTTTAGTTATTTCCAACTTAGACCAAATAATGGGAGCCATCATGAGGGTTCATCAAATATCAATTTGATGCAGAAATGCTTGTTCATGACAAAGGTGTAAATAGGCAAAAATCAATTTTGTTATTAATTTACACTATAATTTTGATATGCCCGGGAACAAAAAGCTTCTTTGTTTTCAAATGAGTCTCTCCGGCTGTCAATGTAGACATGTTCAGTGCGAAGAGAAATGTGTTATAAATAATAATTTAAGTGATTTTAAATGAAAGCTCACCTTACTGCGAAACATACAAATAAAGTCGACAGATTGAAGACATCTTTTACATGGTATGTTGTCTAGCTGATACATTGTGACTTAAGTTCAGAATACTGATCCTCCATGAAAATATCATCTCTTAAGATCAGATTCTCTTTATAAAAACTTAACAATTCTACCAACCATTCCATAAACTTGTAAAAAAAATTACTAACATTTATTTTTGAAAAGTTTATTCTAATATCTTATAGGAATATCTTTTAAGGAATTTCACCATCTTCATTTCCATTACTATATTTTCTTTTCACAAATAACTTCTCATTACTTAAAATTTCTTTCAATCAACTGCAACGGTAATGACAACGTTTTCTTAAAAGCCTCTTAGCAAGACGTAACCATGGTGAACTGGGATATGAATGATTATGGTGCTGTTATTTAAAACAGCTAGCACTGAAGGAAAAAATGTTTCACCGGAAAATGTTATTCCGATCTGTTTCAATTTTCACATAGAAAATAAAGATTATATCATTGCACAAAATGACAGGTTATATGGTAACATCCGTTCAGGTGGAGTTATGTCTTATGAGATTTTTCCACGAAAGCCGGCTACGTTTTGCCTTGACCTATCTAAATAAGCCATTAATATCAGCGATGTTACACACTTGATGTCCTTATCAAAAGTAACTTAAGTCGGAATAATAACAAACAAGACGTAATGTTCGTCAAAAACGTGTTTTCGGGCGCTGTATGGACGGTATTCAGGTTAGTTGCACCACACGACTAGACTTCCTGCCATATTGAAAATGAAAACAAGACAAATGGATTATTACCTGCCGTAAATCCCTTCTGTAATCTTAGGTCTTTTTAGCGGGCGACGAAGCTTGCCGCACTCGGCATTTCGTCTCTTCATATTCTTTAAAAGCTAACGATGAGTATACACCTGTCAACTGAATTAAATTGCTTCGAATCGTCCAGATATTTGGCTACAAATATACTAGTCTTCCGCAGCTAATCGACATGCGCAACCATTCTCGTTTATTTCCGTGACACCAACGGAAATACTCGAAAGAAATTTGCTATAATACGGATCATGAAATGCTTTTTGATATTGCTGAATTTAAACCTGTAATATGATATATATAAAGCAATTTTAGAAAATAAAAGCTTAATATTATTTTCTTATTTGTCAACTTATTACTGGAGTTTAAAATTAGCTATGATAAAGCATGAATCCAATCTCTGTTTTAGGTACATCCAAGGCAACTGAAAATGGCGATGCATATCCCTAAACCCCCGGGCTTTGCCCAAATGCTTAAAGAGGGAGCCAGGGTGAGTTAAACACTATTTAATGTGTATATTTAGTGTGAGGCGATGCTGTTAATATATTTCCTCAATAAGACAAAATCTATCAGGAGTTGTATAGGTGAAACAAATAGAACACGTGCAGTACAGATAGCACATGGTCAACACCTTATTTGGGATTTTGACGTTTTAAGTATTCGTAACTATTGTTCTTGTCGTTAAATAAAACCAATATGTTTGTCCATCTAGCGGGCTTATTTGCAAGATAAAGATTTATAGAGTTGCAATAAGATCATTGAAATCCACTACTCGACATGAAAAATTGAAGAATGAATCATAATCATTTTTTATACAGCATTACTCAGGCTTGGAAGAAGCAGTTTACAGAAATATAGAAGCTTGTGGAGAGCTAGCAAAGACAACGCGATCAGCCTATGGCCCCCATGGTATGGAATTGTATCTTTATCATTTATAACTAAAACTTTCAGAAAGAGAGTTAGTTTGGGTTTTAGTAAAGACTGTTCCAGAAAGTTGGGTTGCTACCTCACTACTTACCAGTATTTATATAGGTGCATAAATTTTATCTTTATCAAATTTTCCAAAATGAGGGGAAATTAATGTTGTATTATTGTTTACAAATGGTCTGGTATTTAGAATATCATCTTTATGTATTATTTTAAATTTGTGTAAATTTTAAAGCAGCCATTCTTTGCACATTATTAGTTTTTTATGTTTTAATATACATCTTTTATTTTCATTCATTTATTTATTTGTTTATTTATTTTTGTCACACTGTACAATTAAGAATTTCATTTTTTTTTTTTTTCAATTTTCAGGGCAAAACAAAATGGTCATCAATCATTTAGAAAAATTATTTGTAACAAATGATGCAGCCACAATACTAAGGGAGTTGGAGGTTTGTTAAAAGCACATTAAGATAAATATTTGTATGATCTATCGTAAATGACATTCATTAAACTAGTGCTGGTCTCACTCTTTTCAAAGTTTGGTTTTAACTATATAGTTAAACAGAAAATGATGTCAAATCAGAATTTTGAATCAAAGTGCCAAACAATTGTAAAATTTGAGCAAAATGTTCACTAGCTTGGTAGTTGGATCATATATGATAATTATCAAACGCAAGCTGAAATACTTCCATACCCTATGGCCAACCAGGATGTAGGCCTTCACTGATGTGAGTAGATGTTGTTACTCACTGACCACTAGGTGGTATAGTGACCAGGACCCTTTAATAAATGTCAGGTGGATCGCCTACCCTAGCCCTATTCATGGGTGTGGCTGGTGACAGCTGATGGCTGAGCTACCTGACATTTTTAAGAGGGTCCTGGCCACTATACCATGTAGCGTCCAGGTTGGCTGTAAGCTAACAGTATGAAAGTATTTAGGCTTATGTTTGTTGATTATCATATATGAATAGTAAAATTTGTTCCAAATAGTTTTTTCAAGGTGAAATGATATTGAGCA